TCTTCTCTCTCTCTCTCTCTCTCTCTCTCTCTCTCTCTCTCTCTCTCTCTCTCTCTCTCTCTCTCTCTCTCTCTCTCTCTCTCTCTCTCTCTCTCTCTCCTTCTCTCTCCTCTCCTTATATATATATATCTATATATATATATATATATCTATATATATATATATATATATATATATATATATTATATATATATATATATATATTATATCATTACTCATTCACTAATTCACTCACTCACACTCACTCATTTCACACTCACTTCACTCACACATGACACACACACACATACAAATGTATATATATATCATATATACTAACAAAAATGATTAGGAGAGAGAAGTAATTTTCAGTAACAATTCTGGTTCCAGACTTGCAAAAGAATTTGCTGCAGAGAAGCGACATGACTACGTGGATCAACTGGAAAGAATTCAGTGCATTTTGCAAGATATTTCCAGTCTAATTGCAACACCCAGGAAGCAGCAACAAAGTGGTATGCAACTTTTCTATATTCTTAATTGACATTTTTCTTTTTTAGTGGTTGAAAGTTGAAGTACTGAAAAAAATGATAAAGTAGAAAGCTATGAGTCAATGGTTAAATCCATTTTTTTTTTTTCTTATTCTTTTTCATTTTTTTCTGTTTTCATAGGGAAACATAACCTATGTAGCTTAGGACAAAATGCATTATACATCTTATAACTACAACAGTATTGTAATGAGCTTTTTGTACTCCTGCAGATGATCCAAGTAGGGAGGCCCGTATTCGAGAGAGACTGTCTTTTAACCCACGTCACATAACTGAGCTGGAGGATTGGATCGACCAGTACAGCGTCATGTTGCCAGATCTTACCAATTTTATCTTGCCTGTAAGTTAGCAGTTATGTAAAAGGTGGTATTCAAATTTCATCATCTACATATTTAGCATCGCATAAATGCATGAATGTTGGGTCTCCTAAACGCATTTTATTTCTTTAGGGTGGGGGCCGTGTGAGTGCTTCCTTACATGTAGCACGAACAGTATGCAGGAGAGCTGAGCGATCCATTGTACCTCTTACCACTGGTGGATTTGTTGACGAACAGGTTTTAGTATACGTCAATAGGTAAGGAATTATACTTTCAAGGAGAACCTGTTATGAAAGTGATGGCACTTGGACAAATATGCAAAATATACATTTTAAATGCATTGATTTTTATAATAGTAATATATACCATTCAGTTATCACCAATCAATTTAGTTAAAATGTGTTCAAGTGATTGTTTGTTTGTCTTATTTGATTTTTTTTCTCGGCTTCAGATGTTTGTTTGTTTGTTCTATAATTGATAGGTATTGAAATGCTTTAATGTTTTATCAATCATTCTATATGCTTTTTTTTGTGTGTAAGAAATATCTAGGTGCAGTGGGTGAAGAATTTATTTTTGAAATTGGAAAGTTGATTGATTTTTGTGAATTTCATTTTATGAAAATGTCAATCAATGGCTTTCTTATAGCCTGTTAGATAACATAGATTTGAAGACTATTGTTGAAATACTATCCTTTTGGTATCCCCTTTTTTTCCGTTATTTAATTGATAGAATACCAGATTACACATCTTAAAATCCATTTTTGAGTTCCCATTTTCTCTTCACATTATCAGAAGAAGAATATCAAGGAAGGATGATTTTGACAACTGTCACCAGTTACCACGGTTATATGAAGCAAATTTTGCATTCCTCGTTGCAGGTTGAGTGACTACCTGTTCACAATTGCCCGGTATGCCTCGGTGCTTGATGGGAACAAAGAAACCATATACATAAGGCCCCAGTCACGCAAAGCTTCTAGTATAGAGAGGAAACTATCAGAAGGTCAAGAGGTTGTTCAGCAAGATCAGTAAACAGTTCTTTGGTAACCAACCAAATATGCATGCAAAATGTGGTGATTATATAGTAGAGTGTAAAGGCATGTAGCAGTTACCTGATATTGCAGATATATCTTCAGTAAAAAGGTTATTTTCAGGTTTGATGTTAATAGATTTTGACCAATTATGTACTTTATATAATTGTCTAAACAATATTTAGTTTACATAATACCTGTACAATATTTTCTGCAATTTTTTTTTTTTTTTTTTTTTTTTTTCTTTCTTTTTTTTTTTTTTTTAGTTAAAAGAACTGCAAGGATAGAAAGCAGGTTGTTAATGGAGATCTCATAGAATGGGATAATATATTTGGTTACTGTGAGCAATTTTATATTTCTCAGGTCTTTCCCACTTCTCAGATTACAAAACTTGTGGTTAGATAGAGAAATATGACCAATTTAAGTTGCTGTAGCTTATTGCATTTAGTGTACACTTGTGTGTATGTATATTTTTTTCTCTTTTAGGCTTCCATTAAATCAAAGTAGGTTTGTACAGAATAGGTTTGTGTTCCTGGTTCCACCAATATGGAGGAGCCAACTTTTGAATATAAATCAGGGATAAAGCTTTAGAATCATGCTGCAATATATCGTCCTAGAGTCTGGTCTGTCAGTATTTCTTGTATGTGTAACTTATGCACTAAGGGTAGGTGTAGAAATGTGTGTAATAAGATGGACCAAGGAAGAAATGCCCTTTTGTTACAGTGAAAGTTATTGGCTTTAGATCAGGATTTTTTAAAACAAATTCTTTTAGAAAATATGTTACTTCCTTTTCTTTCCATGCTCAGTTGTTTTGCTTTAAAGCAACTTTTAGGTATTCCAATAGTGTTTGGTTTGCATTCATGTTTCGGAGACAGGAAGTATGGCTTTATAAATTTTATATTATCTTGTTTTCCTTTGAAGTCGATAGAGAAGAAAAAGACAGTCCTTAGTTCTTATGTTACAGAAAATAGAGGCTGATGAATTTAGGAAAGATGGTGAACTGTTAACAGTAAGGTGACATTTGAAATGATAAAGATGAAGAATCTGTACGTTAATTTTAAAGCACAAAGCTATGAGGCACAAAGAATTCAGAGTTGATGTTCCAGATCTCAGATTTATTAGCCAGTATTCCTTAATGAAAATATATAGACATTTTATACTTTTATGTCTTTATCTTGGGGTTTGATTGAATAGATTCTCCATATCCAGGTCCTCTTTGATATCAGTATATGCAATGTTTAATGTTGTGGTATTTGTTCATTAAATGCACGTTTTTATCATTAGTGTGGTAATAGGTTGTATGTACTAAACTCATATGATATAAGTTGTTCATGAAAGAACAACTTCTAATTTTTCCTCCATTTTTTTTTTATAGTAAAAAAACATATTCAGGCTGCAATAGCAAGCTTCTTATTTTTCAAAATTTCTCTTTTGGTGTTGATAGCAGGCATAGGATACTAGAGTTATAAAGTACTGATCCTGGTATTCTTGCCACAATGAATATTAGGATTTTCTCTGTGGTGAAGGTCTCATCTGCTTGCAGAAATAAAGATATAAACAGAGTTAGATGTCTTCACATTGTGGATTTATCTTTGTTTATGAGCTGACCTGATATTGATGACTGTGCAGTATCTGTAATTATGATGTTAAAATAGGAGTAAGAAAAAATATTTTCACTTGATGTGCAGGGATTAAAATCAGTGAAGTTCTTGTGATTTTCCTTTTGTAAATAGCTGTGATTGTTAAATAGTAAATAAAATGTTTACATTGTAAGTTGTTTATCATTAGTAAAGATTACAAAAATATATTTAGTTTACATAAATGAAGCAAAACTAAACATATTGTAAATGACTGCTTCCAGTCATTCACAGTATTCATAGTTGTACATTAGAGAGTGTAGCTGGAAATGGCTTGGACTGCTAAGATGAGATGGTTGACAAGGGGGCAAAGGCATTTTAAAAATAGTTTTGTGTTTTATTGTATTTCACTAGCTTTATTAGGCTTGTTTTGAAGCCAAACTAAATAAATAAAATATGGCATTGCATAATTTTCACAAAATGACAAACAGCCATTCAGTTTCTATTTTTGGGGGGGAGGGGGGAATTCTACAAGAAATTTTATTAGAACAATTTCCTTGCTGGAAATAAGCATTTTATCACAATGAGCTTATTACAAAATTTACATTATATGTAGGCCAGGCACACACAAATGTTAGATGTCAAAGTTTACAGAGTGCTATGTTATAGTATGATAGAGAAAAGGGTAAAGAGGGGGCAACGAGTTAGGGGCATAGGGCGATTAGATAAAATGCAGTCTATCTGTGGTTGGGGAGGCAATATGGGTAGAGATGATTGTTGGAGAAGTAGGAGAAGAATCCGGGGAATGAGATAAGGGGACTGGGGAAGGTGGTGAAGTCCCAGGAAGAATGTCAGGAGGGGAGAGATCTGGAGAACAACACTGTTGTGACAGAAGGGATTCACGTGAGCATTCAGGAGGGAGAGCTAAGGATAATGGGAAACAAAGAGGGAATGGTGCAAAAGGAGAAGATAGGGTTTGTCGGGAAAGAGTGGGAGGAAAGGGGTAGGAGGACCTTGAGAGGGAGTACAGGTTGGATGTTTCAGGGTAGAGGAAAGAGATACCAGGTGAGACACTGAGGCATCTTGAGAAGATAGGTGGGGAGCAGATTTGAAGAAAAGTTTTGGAATAGATAGAGAGAGAAAAGCCTGTAATCATGCTTCCTGTCTAGCTTTACGTAGAAGAAGGCATAGTATGAATCTGAGAATTGCTACCTCACATTCAAGCTTATTTGCAGGGCAGCTCCTATAAAATACATTATGGGTGCCATCAAAATTGTTCAGATGAGGAATAGCCTTGTTGCACTGTAAGAATTTGCAATTGATAGAAGGAAACTAGCTATCATGTAATATAGGCTTTATTTCAATTGTATACAACTTTATGCTCTCAGCTATAAACATTTTTCAACAATATTTACATTCATCATGCTAGAATTAATTGTTTATGAAATATATAAGCTAGATAAATGAAAACTCATAAAGAAACATTCTCAGAGATTCATCAGTCCCATCTCTTTCTAAGTGTCACTAGCTTTTGACATCCTAACAACACTATTCCATTTGCATACATATACTGTACATGTCTCAACACATATATTTATATATACACATACATATATCAACACGTACATACATTTATATTTATATATCTGTGGGTATACTGTATGTATATATAAACATATCTCCTCTCCCTCTCCCCCCTTTCCTCTCACTCCCCCTTCCCATCTCCTCCACTCTCACACTCACACTACTCTCACTCTCACTCACACTCACACTCACACTCTCACTCTCAATTTTACTTAATACATCTTTATTATATTTCTATCCTGTAACTCTGTCATGGAAAGAAAACTTTTGATCATTATATATTAATTCTAAAAGAGGAGATTAGTACTTTAATATTAATCAAAATATAAAAATGAAAAGAAAGCCTCTCTTAAATGGTATATGACAGCCGATGCTTTATAAAGTTTTCCTTTTTGCATGCCCTGTTCTAACTTATCAATCAATATATCGCCAGCCCTTGCATCACAACTTATATTGGACTGAAATCAAAATACAGTATATTTCATTATATTCCTTTTAATATTTTAAGTGAGCAACAGTGAAAAAAATCTAACTATTTTGGAGACAAAAGCAACACAAACTTCAAAGTCAATTGTTGCAATAAAAATAAATGAGCATGTCTGTTGAAAGGCATTAGAGCAGAAGTCCCATTAAGAGCAAATCTTTCAAACAGCTGCTGAATAATAGCTGTAATATATAGGCCACACATTTATAAAACTCAAACAATCTCTTAAAATCTGCCAACAACAGATATCATTTCAATGTTCAGAAATATACTCTCCTAAATGATAAATAATAACAAAAAGAGGATCATTTATACTTGAATATGGCATTATGTCACAGTATAGCAGCTTAAAAATACTTATATAGAAATTTATCAAATTATTACACTTTCAATAATAAAAAAGAGGAATATTTACAGCATTCCCATATCCAATAACTTATCTAGACAGAGGAAGATGCCCCTGACTCATTCTTTCAAGCTTCTCAAAGTGTTTTCGTGCATTGCGAATGTTGATAAGAGTGGCTGCTGAGGCTGTGAATAGAAGAAAATGGTAATAGTTCATGGCTTTAATTTATCCACAAGAAAGAAATATCAAATCTGTCATTATATATCTCCCACAAAGCCAATGACTTTGGATAACACAAATTAAACATTAAAGACGTTACTTACGAATTGAGGCATCAGACATGATCACCATACAGTAGGTATTGGATGTGAATATATCAATAAAGGCGGCAAAGTTAGAGTTTCGTACTTCCATGCTCTGGAAATGTGCTGCTAATTTGCTGTGATAGAAAAAAAGGATTTATATTATTATCAAGTGACAATATACACTTTTTCCAACTTTAAAACTCCATTATGCTTTATTAATGCAGCAAATGAACACCATTGAATCGAAACCTGAGAAAAGCCCTTACCTGCAGGAAAGTTTAAACTGCTTTATAATATTGGACACCTTTTCAAAGCGGTTTGCATCTCTGTGTGGTCGCATTCGGTAGTGAGAGATAACTAGAAAAGTTGCTCTCTCAAATAACAACACTTCATCAGCATCAATGATATTAGTAAATTCTTTCAAATTCTGTTCCAGTTCTTTTACATTTGGGATAAGTTCATACACAATGTTGGACCAAGCCTGAAAGGGAAAAAAATAACACAAAGTCAATTAAGGGGACTGGCAAAAAGGGTAAAAAAAGAAAAAAAATGTATTATAAACTTACACTCAAATTCTTCCTATAGCATCTACAAATCCCTAACTATTTTGCTTTGCTGTGTACAGTTTAAATGTCTAGGGCGGTTTAAAGGGACATGGTCATCTGCACCATAATGAGGCATCAGGATTTCGGGTCTACTGTGCTGCATAATAAAGGTGATTTCATCTTATTTTTCATCATATGAAATGCCTTTATTTCTAATTTATTTAAATGTTTACATACATAAGGTTGCAATGAATCATGACTCTTGGCAAAGTGGGAGTTACCATCCCATCATTTTAGTTTGTGGTATTGTGCTTTTTTTAAAGCTAGTTCCCTGTTTTACAATCACAATGGGTAACAAAAAGAATGAATGAAGTGTGTATGATAGGAACGTATTCTCATGGAAAAATTTAGCTATGGGCTAAGGTGATGGGACCATTTCACCACGAGATATCGTTGCTGATTGGCAAGTGAAACATATATCTCGTTATGAGTGCACAAAGCTTTTGGAGGAAGATCAACTCAGTGGGCCTTTGCAAAATGGTAAGCAAGGGAGACTTGTACAATCTCTAAACATGCCTAGGAGATTGTCAGCTCCAGGAAAGATACTATTTCCATACACAGAAACCTATTTATGCCCACCATAACCAGTAGTGCAGGGCATTACAAAAATTAACATGAAAAAAATATAATAAAAAAAAAAAACAATAAAACAATAAAAAACAAACACTCACTAATTGTAACTATTATTGCATAGGATATCAACTACCTGGAAAAATAATATTAGGTCTGCTCAACAAATAGTATATTGCCGTCTTGATACAACATCACAAATAAATATCCTTTACTGACAGGTATACCTGTAATGACGTGCACACATATCACAACTTGCTCTAGAGAGAGAGCGGGTGGGTCAGCGGTACACAGCACATGCCCTGCCAGAAAGTCTAGACCATGCAAATGATTATGCCACAGAAAATTCTAGCCTTGTCATGATAGGGATATAGACCTCGGAAAATGGCAAAACAGCAGAAATGCATCTACAGAGAAGACCTAACAGCATTGCAGGAGGGCAGGGAGTCACAATATCACATATGGGTGTTCTTGTGGGCCTTGCTACACATCACATGCCAATGAGAGTCCCCACTCAACTAAGCCTAATACCCTCTAATTTGGTTCATGTCTAAGCCAAGCACCTGGTACTAAACAGTTAAAAGATTGTTTAAACTTCAGACCATTATCTCTATATGTATTACCTTTTGACAGTATGAAATAGATCATATCAAGATCACTATCCTTTAACCAGTAGCTCAACGAGTTAATCATATATATTACCTTGTAGAGTGTCTCATCCCAGATTGATGTTCGAAAACAGACACACTCCAGTGGTTTAGACAAGCGTTTCAGGTCTTCTTCTCTGGCTCTGAAAATCTGAAATTGAAAATGTGAACTTGTATGGCCTTTAAAACACTCAAACAAACCCTCACCTACTATTTCAATGAATTTGGGAACATCTTATGTAGCACCAGTTAAAATTCATATCATTATGTAAAATAAATATACTTTAATTATTTGTGATACCTATTTTGTATAAACCTTATAAAGTACATCAAATTAGCTTGTATGAAATAGTTTACCAAACACTTAGCTCATTCCTAAAATTTTTTTAAACATCCAATCTATGTAAAAAACCTTAAAGGGAGCTACTTACAACATCCCTCTGGTCATCTTGCACAAGGTCCATTTTATGTATGAGACAGAAAACACGAGCCTCTGGTGAATTCTGTAGGATTGCCTCTAAGCAGCTTTGGTAATAATGCATGTCCTTTTCTGCAATTAGTATTCATTGTTTTAATGATGGAAAGCAAGACTTTAGCATACAGCTGCATATTTCAAAATGATGCTACATTAAAATACCATGACAACTTTTATAAT